GACGAATTGGGTCTTAATTAATGTAAGTTACTGACCAATTTGAGTGGTGCTGTTGTTGATGGATGCAGCAACCGCGGGGCTTGAGAACATGGCGTTTATCTCCAATGCCGTGAGCCTTGTAACTTACTTCTACGGCTACATGAATTTCAGCTTGGCAAAATCGGCCACCACGCTAACCAACTCATGGGGACTGCTTTTCTGCTATCGTTATTTGGAGGATTCATCTGCGACACCTACTTGTCCAGATAAGACTTGTGTTCTGTTTGGATCCATAGAAATACTGGTATGTTAAGTTCCATTCTGGCCTCCCTCTGAGAAACAAGTAGCTATATATGCATGAGCTAAGCTTAATTTAAACTCTTGCAGCCTAAGAACCTCAAATACATATAAATAGAACAAATGAAAAGCAAACAAAAGAGTACAAGCAAATTACTTATGGTGATTAGATTACCCTCTAGAAAAAAGATGAAGTAAGCTTTTCTTATCTTCAGAAAATGGGTGTTTGCGATCTGAAAAATCAATCGTTAATATATTCATGTATATAATTGGGTATTTGGTCAAAGTGTTACAAATGATCCGGAGACAGCCGGTGCAGGGGTCTGAACTATGTTGAAAAAGTTAAATAACTTTGGCTCATAGAACTAGTATCGATAATCACGTATATAATATGAACTATACCATGTGAGAAATCATGCTACAGCAATGTTAATCATATGCAGGACAGGTTTTTTAAAGTGTACCATGTAGCTGGCTACTTTTTTTCCAGGTTATTTAACTAAGTTCACATGATACATGATAGCTTGGCCATATACTAATTGGAAGGAAAAGAATTCCGAATTACCCATATTTTAGAGCAAGTACAAAGGCACAAAACAGAAACAACAAATTTTGAAAACGTTTTGTCATCACAGATCAATCATCAATGTTTTCGAATCAAATAAATTTAAATTAACTCTTTTTGGTGCTGAATAAACAGTAATTTTCAAGGCAAAACACCAAAATAAACAACAATTCACTGCATAGAAAACTTACAGGTCTATCAGTTTGGTGACACTGTATATCGATGAGTTTTCAGGGATACGCCCTCCTAACAGTACAAGCACACTTCCATCAACTGAGACCCTTTCCCTGCAAGGATGTTCCACCAAGCAAAATGAATCAATGTGAGGCTGCAACCAGCGGCCAGACCGCAATCCTTTTCACCAGTCTGTATCTGGTTGCACTCGGGACTAGTGGGATTAAGGCGGCTCTACCATCCCTGGGAGCTGATCAATTCGACGAGAAGGACCCCAAGGAGGCAGCTTCGCTTTCAAGCTTCTTTAACTGGTTGTTGTTTTCTATCACAATCGGAGCTATGCTTGGTGTGACATTCCTAGTTTGGATAAGTACCAACCAGGGATGGGATTGGAGCTTTGGTGTGTCCACCATAGCTGTCCTGGCGGGTATATTGTTCCTCACCATGGGAAGATCAATTTATCGGAATAATAAGCCCAAGGGAAGCCCTATTATCCGCATTATACAGGTGTACATGGTTAAACAAGTCTATACATGATCTGTGGCTCGTATTGATCTAAAAGTTGGTGCAAGTTGCATAGAAAGAATTGTTTTACAGATTAATCCTCCGGGTTTCAGGTATTTGTGGCTGCCATCAGAAACCGAAAGCTTCCAATACCAGCGATGGCAGAAAAATTGCATGAGACACGTGATAAAGAAGCTGGAATAGGAGCTGAAATTCTTCAAAGAACGGCTCAATTCAAGTATTTCGTTCAACTTCTAGATTCAAATATTTGAATGCGTACAGTAGCTAAAAACAAGTGTGATTCACTAATTAAATTAACCCACCAACCTTTTGACAGATTTTTCGATCGGGCAGCGATTGTTGTTCATGATGCATCCACGCCCAGTATGCCTGGACCCTGGAGGATGTGCACAGTGACACAAGTTGAAGAAACTAAAATTATAGTTCGCATGCTCCCAATTATACTAAGCACTATCCTCATGAACACATGTTTGGCTCAACTCCAAACTTTTACCATCCAACAAAGCAGTACCATGGACAGAAGCCTTCTTGGCTTTCAAGTGCCTGGAGCCTCAATTCCAGTAATCCCCCTAGCATTCATGTTTGTTTCAATCCCATTGTACGACAGAGTGTTCGTTCCTCTAGCCAGGAAGTTCACAGGGATTCCAACTGGGATTCGATACCTCCAACGGATTGGAGTGGGGTTGGTGCTCTCGGCCATTTCTATGGCAGTGGCTGGGATCATAGAAACCCGTCGGAAAAACGTGGCTGAAAAGCACAACATGGTTGATTCCGCGGATCCTTTGCCAATAAGTGTGTTCTGGCTAGGGTTTCAGTATGCTATATTCGGAATAGCTGACATGTTTACATTGGTGGGACTGCTAGAGTTCTTCTACTCAGAAAGCTCATTAGGCATGAAGTCCCTGAGCACAGCAATCTCTGGTGTTCATTGGCATTTGGGTACTTCACAAGCTCAGTTATGGTGGAGGTGGTGAACAAGGCCAGTGGTGGGTGGTTGGCAAATAATAATCTGAACAGAGATGAGCTGAACTACTTCTACTGGTTATTGTCAGGGTTGAGCATAGTCAATTTTGGGTTTTATTTGGTATGTTCATCTTGGTATAGATACAAGAAGGAAGAGCAGGTAGATTCTAATAGCGGCGGTGAAGCTAAGATAAAAATTGAAATGGGTAGCGGTTAGGTATTTTACGTCTTATTTGCACCGTCCTAAAACTAGCTCACCATGTACCCTTCAATTAAAGAAATTTTGCATCTAAGCAACTCTGCCGGGTGTTGGATAAAGATCAAGGATCAGTTTTTCTCCATTTGGAACGAGATTTTAACAAACGGAACCTTCATTTAGAAAATCATAGCAATCAAATTGAGAAAGTGTTGTACACTGCTAATGGAAAGGAAAATATACCGTTTAACTCGTCAAGATAGCTTAGAACAATGTTCAATCTGGCATCACATTTATTAAAAAGAAATGGTAATCTTTTTCTTTTTCATAACTGAATGATTATACTGTTTACAAATCACAAGTATACATTACACTAACCATACAAGAGGTAGGAAAGAGTACAGTCATAGCACATTGTGTGATAAGTGAACCTCCCAACAGAAGCCCCTGTTATTTCCCCTACCATTTCACATCTAGCGTCAGAGCCTCTGGAGGAACAAGTATTGGTGGGATATTGGTAAAGGAAACATTGGACATCAAATTACTCCAAGCCGATGACTCCACAACAGTGAAAGGTTTCATCTTCTTAACGACGAAGGGCTTTAACCTTTCTGCTTCGATTCTTGCCACTACTTCAAACCATGCACTTTCAACAATTGGCCTTGTTCTCCACTCAGCCACTGTAGACCAGAAAGTGTCATTGCTCCTGATATCCCTTTCTATTTCCAATTGGAAGCTAAAAATGGTGGATGCTTTTATTTTTGCATTCACAAAACCCAAAATTGCATTCTGATTGGTTCTGTTAAGTTTTAGACTCCGGAAAATTTTTCCAAGTAATGCTATCCTCAAGCCTAAGGAATCGATGGGGCAGCCTCGCTGCTTGTACATATGTCTAATGTAACACTTCGCTGGCAGCAACTCAATTGTCTCCCTGGAAAGGAAAGCAGTTTCAACATAGGTATCAGGGTTTTGAGTTTTGTAGGCAACCACTGATGCAGAGCCTAGAACACGTAGAGGAAGTAACCGCATACATAATGAATGCAAAAATGACCCAAAATTATTTCTCGCCCTATCAACTAAAGTACTTCCATTCACTTGTTGCTGAAGATCAGATGCGTGATACAGAGACATTTCTTGAGCACCTCTCACTTCTAAAGTAATGCCTTCACCAACCAGGATCCGTTTCAGACCAGTATGGGTAGTATTCAGCTGATAAAAAATGGCCAAAAAGTGTGAAAAGTTAGTAGGAGCAACATAGAAACACTCCGGGATAATTAGATGTGTTTTAGCTTAATGATTCCCAAAGCAACATATTAGAATGCAACCAAACATGAAGTTCTATCCACACAGAAACATCAAGGCTTCTTATTTGATGAAAAGGCATATCACTTACAGAGAAAGGCAGGAAATTGAAGGAGAATGTTTTCAATGATCTATAATCATCATTTAGATCCTCTTACAAGACATAGACAAGAACAAGAATTCATAATAACATACATCTTTAGTTGCAGGGTGGCAAAGCTGGAAGGAAAACAACATCCAAACTGCATACCATTTGTATGAATGATGGTCAAAAGATATCATATTTAATACATAGAAGCAACCTTGGGGACATATGAACAAGAAAATGAATTTGACTAGATGCACCAGGTGAACAGCAATATTCACTTTTGCAAACCTTAGCAACATCAAAGCATCTAGTCCTTCAGAGTTTCAGAAAAATTGGTTTCCTCATATGACAAAGGCACCACAATACAGAGTCAGGAATTAAGTGCAAACATTACAGCACTTATAACATGATAACATTCCAAATGTAGTGCGACTATACACCCATGCAATCTTTTTAATGGATGTTTATGAAGAATCAATCAAGCATTAATGATAGGACAATCTGAAGGATGCTTGTCAAACATCAGATCTTCATAAGAACTTCTGAATATATCTAGATGGCCATGAGGGCCAAATCTTGGTACTCTATTTAGATCAAAACATAAGGAAATGTATCAAAGATTAGCACGAAATGAGTCTTTTGTTTCCATTAGTCATTTCACTTGTTTCCAAGCCTGAACGCTGAAGCCATAAGCATTGCACCCTTCCCACTGGCATGCAAAATATGCTTATATCTCCAATCAATCAAGCTGAATACTTCAGCTGAATACTTCAGCGGAATTGGAATCCAAGTTGTTCCAACACAAGGGGCTCAGAATCCACAACTGGTATGCCTTAGTTTCTCCTTTGTATTTCACGCATGTTACTTGAAGGCTATACAAAGATTAGTCAGAACTATGTATTCTTGAGGCAATGTTAATGCCTATTATAGAGTGCATCAATATGTTCATTGCAAACTAGATGTCAAAGTAATGAATGAAGCCGGAAAATCGAGAGGGCATGCAGTGCACAATTGACATTAATAGGATTCAATTAGCACCTTAAATTCTCTGTTTGTTACTTCACAAACCAGAACACTCTCACACCACCACTCCGGCAATATACCCAAATCCAACTACAGCTGATGCAGTAAGATAAAAACATGAAAAAGAAAATAAGATCAAATAGCACACATTCCCACAACTAGATACGGTAGACTTCAATACAACTGGGATGAACAAGAACTTCTAAAAAAACCCATTAAAAAAAAATCACAGCTTCCGAAAAATCAAAACAGAGCAATCAAATCCATTCAATTAACGTTTGCTTTTCTCAGTAGCCAAAACACATCACACTCTATAAGAACAAAGACAAAAGCATACCGGCAACATCAGCGAGAGTTCATCATCTCCACCAACGCGTAATTCAAAAGGCCCTTGCACTCGAAACGCATCGAGCACTGCCTTGGAACCAACTTCCTTAACCAAAGACTCAAAATCACCTCTCCCCGTCTTAAACTTCTTCCACACAGACTCTTCGTCCAACAATTTGAAAACCAACTTGCCCTTCCCAAATCGAATCCGAATCTCATACCTCTGCAAAGTCCCATACTTGGCCTTCCTCACATCCAATTTCGAAACCCTAATGTCCTCCAGATTCCACTTTTGCCACTCCGAAATCACATCCAACACATCCTAAAAACACAATTAAACAACAAATTAACCTATAATCGAGACTTAAATAATACGATTTTACAGTAATAAATCACACCTTTAAGAAGAGAGAGGGTTCGGGGCGAAGTTCTTCACCGATCTTCGGGTAGCTGAAGTGAGAAATATTGAAAAGTGGAGTAGAGATTGCGAGAGTTAATGCTAGGGTTTGGAGAAGTAAGACTTGAAGGAGAGAGAGAACCAAAGGTTTGAGCATCGTTTAGGGTAGAGTTTGGGTAATCTCTCGTCAACGGACGTCGCCGACGACGATTACTACTGTACGCCGAACAGAGAATAAAATTGATCTGATCTGCTTTAAGTTGAAATGACGATTATAGGCACTACTGAATGAACAAATAGAGCTTCCTAAAGAGGTCATCTGAACCGTGGGAATAAGATCATCGCCTTTCAATCGACGTTTCTCATCTGATCTAGTGGAATAAAAAAGTGATCGTGTGCTAAAGTGCTCGAGTTTAAAAAGGTTACGTTTTATCACAGAGCAGATTTCATCGTCAATTTTCCTTTCTTTCTTTTGTCAATAAAATCCTGGTCGGTCACCTTTTTTTAGGTGGGTCTATTCTTGCACGTAAATTTGTTTTTTCATCCCATTTAATTATTTTATTTCAAATTATTAAATTCATTCCATTTATAATCATTCAATTAATTATTAAGTTCACATCATTTATACTCATTTAATTAAATTATTAAATATATATTAAAGAAATCAAAAAAAACAAATAATTAAAATAAAATTTTAATATTTTGAGGTGATCTATATTATTTCAAGATATTTTCATATATTTTCACGATGTCTTTGGAATATTTTGAAGTATTTTAAGATATTTTTGGTATATTTTGACTAATATATTAAAATAATTATTAATTTTTATTTGTTTCTAAAATATTTTTTTGTATCGAAATTAGAGTTGTTAAACGAGACAAGTTTGAACATTTTTTTAAGCTCGTTTATGTGTAAATAATCGAAGATTTAAGCTCAAATTCAGTTCGATTATCACCCCTAACTGAAATAATACACCAAAACAAAATTTTGATCATTGTGTCTATATAGTAAATTGAAATAAGATTGAATGAATTTAATTTCTAATTAGTGAATATAGACGGGTGAAAATTGATGGGAATTAGACTTTAGAATAGTCAAGTGATTGATATATGTACAAATTATGTATTTGAGAGTGCTCTAGTAAGAGAGATTCTGCCCAAACTCTGTCTTGGTTACGATTCCCATGAAGGGGATATGATGACGTGGTGTCGGGGTTATGCGACAATCACGAGTACCTACGTGGATTGATAGTTGATTAACGAGTTGAAAAAGACTACCAATTTGGAGCATCACAGTTTGATATCAGAGTCTAAATTTTCGATTTACCTAGGGCTTGTAGGGCATGAGTCTAAGACATTGCATCCATTATATATTATATGTTGTGTGCATTAAATTCTAAATGTTATGTACTATATGAATTATAGACATGATTAAGTTTGGATGAAAATAGGTCATTAGGGTTAAAAAACATAACTTTGGGGGTTAGAAAAGAAGGAATGGGAAGGCTCATGGTATAGATGTCTACTAATGGATGACGCACACCTTACTAGTGAGATACATAGAGAAATCTCAATGTTTTGACTTTGATCCCTAACTTCGGAATGCTAAATTAGTATTCTATTACTATCTTTACGTGTGTGTAGATGAAAAATAGAGGAAGATGACATCGAAACGGTCAAGAGAGTGGGTGGAATAACAACGAACCACTACCGGCCTTTGATCAACAAACTTTCATGGAGGCTATAGGCACAACGGCTACTACCTTTGCACAAGCTAACTCCAACGTGGGCCAAGAAGGCTTGAATAACCTCTAACATTTTACGGCACACAATCCACTTATTTTTGTGGGAATAATGGATCCGATGGTGGTCAACAATTAGTTCCAACAGATAGAAAAGATCTTAGAGACTATGGAGATCACATCTGATGCCACTAATATAAAATTAGTGGCTTTTTAGCTTGAGGGAAAGACCAATCTATGACGGAATCAAGCAAAATCCTCAAAGAATATTGAAGCAATGACACGGGAAGAGTTTTGTGAGCTCTTTCATAGGCAAATATTTCCTGTCAACTGTCCGACTAGCGAAAGTCCGAGAGTTCTTGGATATGAAACAAGAAAATATGATAATTATAGAATACGTAGTTAAGTTCATCGAGTTAACCCATTTCATCAATGATTATGTGGCCACAAATTTGGTCCAAAGTGATGAAGTTCAAGGATGTCTTGAAGTTGTACATCTGATGAAAGATTGTAGGTCACCACCTATAAGACTTGGACTCAATGGTCGAGACGACTATGTCTATTGAGAGGTATAGATGAGGTGAATTTAGTGATTTAAAGTAAGAATATCTCCAACCATAACTTAAATTTAGACTCAAATTTAAGTATAAATTTGAGCAAAAAACTTGATTTGGTACAAAGTACTCTAATGCGCAAACTCAAAAAATTTCTCAAATCTTTTTAAAAAAAAATTATTGTCCCAAAACTCTTCTTTTTTTTTTTTTTTGTGTCATTCAAATCATAATATTTAATAAATTAAATGAAATTTGTATAACTCTCCACAAATGAGCAATTCAAAAAAAAAATGAATATTTATATAACACTACATGTGAATAAAGAAACCACCCAAAATTTTAAAATTATTCTAATCACTTATTATTTTTTATAAATTCAGATAAAGAAAAAGAAAAAGGAAAAATATATAAACTATTTTGACATAAACTTGGTCCGAAAAACACAAAAATATACATTTTTAACAAAAATGAAAATTTGGAAAAATAAAATGAAAAATTTTCTACATTTATGGGTTTGCGAATGCTTAGAATTTTAGGAAGTATCAGCAGTCTGAAATTGTACTACCGATAGTGTTTAACTTAAAAAATAAAAAAAAATTTGATGAGTAGATTTAGGATTTATATAGTATAAAAGGTGAGTGAGATTAAGATTTTGAAAAAGACAAGAAATGAAAAGATTGAAGATGAAAAGTAAAAAATTTATCTACAGGTTTTCAAATGATTTGTGAAAATTTCGGTAGTAGTCAGCGTTGGAAGCAGCATAGTAGAGAGAGTCAATAAGAGGCCAAGAAAAATTTGAATCTACATTTGAGTTAAGATTGAAGATACTTTAAGATGCTTAAATGGAATGAGAAATGAGATTTACGAGATAGAAATAGTCCCACCCAATCATGAGAAAGCGTAGCTAAACCTGAAATAAAGATTTTTTTTTTATTTTGTAGAATAAATCTAGATTTCTTTTAATATATTTTTAATTTTTTTTTTTGACAAATTATCTATCGTTAATGAATGAAAAACCTATTTATATACAATATACTTCATTTGAATTTGAATGCATCACAGATGATTTACTAAGAATAAAATTAAGTAAAAAAAATATGTTGTAATAAATCTCAGTCTAAAATAGAATAAAGGTATATCTTCTTCATTGTTATTTTTTTTCACAACGTCTCTTCAATTATACTAATTTTTTAAACATGCAAATGAGATTATCGTATTCAGCTGATGTGAAGGAATTAAGGTGGTTGTATGCCATGAAAACTAGTTCTAGACTATGAAAAAATAATAGGAGAAATGGTAGAATGAAATTAATTCAATCAAACTAGGGATAAAAATACAATTAACCTGGTTTAAAATATCAAAAGATTCTTCCCAGTGAAATCAAAATAGATTAAGGCAATGTTTTCAGCCTTTTGAGCAAATAAAAGAAACCCCTAGGGCACTCCTGTTTTAAGCCAAACAAGATAGTACCGAGTCGGTAAATTTGTTCATCACCTTGAACTCATACATCCAACCACAAACTCCATTACATTTCAGCAATTGACTCTGTGTCCAATATGACCCATAAGAAGAAACAAGAAACCGTACAAACTACGAGAGACAATAGAGCGATGACCAACACCAGAACTTCACCACCTACTCTTCCAGTCATCTCCATTGCCTTCCCACATCAAAATGAGCTTGGAACTACCACGTCGAACTTAATACAGGCCATAATGTAGATTTTCAAGTTGGAGAATGAACAGAAACCAAACAATGCAAGTTGATCAAATCAAAGCAGCTTGCATCAATTGAGAACATAGGCAAATGCATGAATAGTTGAGAAGATCCGGCTTTGTGATAGTCCAGAGCTCGTCATTCCATGAGCTCCCAGCCTGACTACTTTTGGTCATAATAACGTTTCCACCCTCCATAAAACTCTGCTCCACATGGCCAATGGAGGATAAAAGCTTTTTACATGTCTCAATTACACCATCAAATGGTCGCTCTAGTCTATCAGCAAATGTACCATGAAGGCCTCAATTCAGCTCTCTAGACCATCTCAACAGCATTTATAAACATTATGCATGACAGCACCTATTTAAAAGACCAAGACTAGGAAAGTCCTCCCATTTCCTTTCCGGCCATTTCTGCTCACTTTTTCGAGAAGTTTAAGAAATCATTATGGAAGAAGAATGCAAAACCAGCTTATTCGGCCAGCAACAATGATTCATACACACAGATGGATAAAGATGATCCATCCAAAGCAAACGGCTGTAAACAGGTAACACATTCACAAATGCTCATGAAATGAGCAGAAAATGGTTGCTAAAAAGATATCTGGACAAAAAAAGTTATCTGAGAGCTTCCCTCAGATGCAAGGTCGAGAAGTAGTCAAGCTTTCTCCCCGAATTTGGTTCGTAAAGAGTGTCGGACACTTTGGAGGGGGGCCAATACCGAAAGACTGATCTACCAACAATGCTTTTGATAGGAAGCGGACCCCTGCAAAATAAGGCAAAAAGTAGCAGATAATAAGATTATATAATTCCCAACATAAAGACATAGTCCTAAAACAACCACCAACAAAGTTCATTGAACTTAAACAGGAAGTTGGTTTCTTCCAACCTTATGCCATAAATTTTCATGCAAAAGTATACCAGCGCAAATTAGTAATTCAAAGTCCAAAAATTACCAATTATGGGAGTCGAAGCTGTTGTTCCGGTTGTCCCCCATCACAAACACATAGCCTTCAGGAACAAACTATACACCATTACAAACAAAAGAAAACATTTCTCAGATAAACAATATTATAGGAACTAAGAGACATTTATAAATCAAGTAAGACAATCACAGGTAGAAAAAACAACAATAAACGTACCACTGCATCCATTTCATACGCAAGTGGCTCTAAAATGAACTCCTCATCTTGAACAACACCATTCACAAACAATTTCCCATCATGAACCTATGACATGGAGTCAAATGAACATCATGGCAGAAATTGAGCATAAGACTTCAAGCAACCCCGAGCAGGATAGGAGCATAAAAACTTACCTCAACATAGTCCCCAGCCTTCGCTACAACTCTTTTTATAAATTCATCACCTGAACTATAGCCAATTCCCTGTATGTTGCATCCCGAACAGAAAAAAACCAGTCAAGTTCCATTGGATGTCAAACATGAAAAAACCCGTTATCTGTTCTCGAAGCAATGATGTTTGCAAACTCAAAATACCTGGAGGATTGGAGGCGCCTTAAATATCACTATATCTGAAACTTCAGGCTTCCTGAATACATACGATACCTGAAGCACCAAATACACCAGTGAATAATAGTGAGATGAGGAAGAATGATCTCTCTTTCATAAACCAAAAACTATTAGAATCTCTTATCCTACAGATACCAATTCAACATCATATTTTGGTAATAATTATGAAATACCATCAAATCGATGAAGAATTAACATGTATAGGAATCCCATGCATATGCATAATCATCACGTAATGAAAAACAGAAGCATCAATGGCATCTTTTCTTATCCCTGTTATAATTTCAGATCACTATTAAAACTAATCAGGGGAAATAATTTCATACATTAACAAGCTATCAGCCTACAAGCATTGCACCCTCCACTTGCTGGACTTGAAATTGTATAGATAAGATGGAAGCTGATATATATGAGAATTGTGCAGATTATAAAAGGTGAAAACAACAACCTCACATTAATCTGCAAATTAAAGATAGTGATCAAATGTACAACAACATTCTGTTTAGCATTGGGGTCTGGCAATGCAGCAGGAAAAAAATTTGCATAACTTCTATTTCCTCACGATTAAAAGAATTGCAAAACTTTTAGAAGTACAAGTAACGAATGGTGTAAACAGAATGTCAGTTCTCCTCTCAACTCATAACGTTTAATTAATATGTCTCCTTATCAACAGCCCATATCAAATTATTTGCAGTCTAATCATATTATAAACAGACAAGTTTTAAAGATGCGATTATTATCAACTTATATAATGAACGAAGCTACACATTTCTATACCTTCTCTGCCATAATGCGATCGCCCACATCCAGAGTTGGATACATGGAAGAGGACGGAATCGACCTCGGCTCTGCCAAGGATGACCGGAAGAGAATGCTGACACTCAAAGCTGTGAACACGGCTTTGGCATCGTCTGAACAGAAATTCAACAATTTCGATAGCCAATTACTCCTCGACAAGTTAAAGTCCCTCGACATTTCCTCCGAACTACAACTGTCATCAACTTCACTACACAGTGTTCCACCCCTATCCACCTCAGAATTTCCCGATCCGATACTAGGTTCGTTACACGGCAACCACTTCGAACCAGGCAAGAACTGAACAAGGGATGAAACATTAAAAGACGATATCCCATTAATCATCCCCATAGAAGAAACCCCCGAAACCCCAGCCGACGACTTCATCAACGAAATCAAGCCAGCAGCCAGAGGGGTCTTAAAATTCTCGCCCAAAAATTCACCGGCGATAGTCGAATACATCGACGACGATGAATTACTTGGCCAGCAACTTGGTTTGGCCTTCGGCCGCCGAAACTCTGCCGAATAATTTGTTTCCGGCTTAGGGTTCGGCTGGAAGAGACGAGATTTGATAAAACATTCGTGAAATAACCGGCACGGTCCGACTTTGGATGTGGCGGGGGCGGCTAGGTTTTGGGCAACGTAACCGGAGTAGGTGACGGTGAATCGAATCGCCATAACTACAATCTGGAATAAGCTGATTAAGATTCGGAAAATAGTGCCTTTCGGCGACCGACGGTGATAATAACGAACAACTTATGTTCAAATAAACGAAACTGGAATGGAGAGAGTAAGTGAATCGGAGACGGGAGGGTTGACTTAGAGATGAATAAATGAATCGGAGAAAAAATAGGAAGATCAAAATTGGGGGTTTTCAGATCAGAAAGGAATGAAGGAGGAAAGGGTGAGATTAGAAACCCCGGAGAGAGCGCCTGAGCTTTCCTCTCAGAGGAGCTCAGGAGAGGGCGAGATAGAAAGACAGAGGAGATTGAGATGCGAGGAAACCAAGAGAGCAACGAAGTTGGAAAGAATTGGGGGGTTATATTTCGGCTGCTTCTCAAGTTGAAGCAAAATGTCCTACTTTCTACGCGTAATTACGAAAACACCTTGACCATAATTTCTTCGCTTTAATTGAATAGTCTTATTTTTCAAAAATAACATTAAAGTTAAGCAAAAATAGTAGTCCGAATAAGAATAACTAAATAAGGAAATATGATTCCTTTGTAAGCATCTTATGATTTTAATTGTATCTTGATTGCTAAAATTAAACTCGAGACCACAAAAAAATAAATATGACAGTTTGTAAATCATTAAGTACTTGATAATTTTTCAAATTTTTTATTTTTTCAAATACGACGATAAAATCACAAAAATTACACGAGCATGTAAGAACAACACAATAAGATATGTTGCAACTGAACATAAAGTAGAACGAATTTGAATTTTAGATACAAATAGTGGTTTACATCATTTCATGACAAAAAAAAACATCATCTAATGGACGACGTTATCCCAAATTATCTCGAGCTATTAACGTATCGGATCGTTTTAATCTGACGTACCACATTAACTTTTTTAAAATATTTTTGCTGCTCAAAAATTATAGTTTCCAAAATTAATATTCCAAAATTTAATTCTCCCAAAATTTTTCCTCAAATCAAGCAAATCTCTCTCTCTCATGCTCAATGCACTCAAAAAGTATCAATTTTTTTAATAAAATATATCTTTATATTTCATTTCTCACTATTAGCGGAAAAAATATTCGTTACAAAACGGTGATACCATGTGACAATGCTAAAGTGGTATTACCAATCAATAAAATCAAAATAAATAAACAAATGGCCCTTACTAAAATTGATAATCAATCATTCATGTAAAAAAATAACTATTTTTTCTTTCTCCATGTAAGCAAATAATATACAAGTGGAATTTACCTTACCCACTTGATATTTTATTATTGATTGGTGATATCACGTCAGCATTGTTGACATAGTATCACTATAACATTCAATATTTACTCATCTTTCTCACACTCATGTACATGCCCTTCTCTCTCATATCTTTACAATAAAGTAGAACGAATTTAAATTTTAGAGACAAAAAGTGGTCTAAATCGTTTCGTGACAAAAAAAAATATCATCTAATGGACGACGTTATATCAAACTGTCTCGAGCTATTGACGTATCAAATCGTTTTAATCCGACGTACCACATTAACTCTTTCAAAATATTATTGCTACTCAAAAATTATAGTTTCCAAAATTAATATTCCAAAATTTAATTTTCCCAAATCTTTTCCTTAAAGCAAATCTCTCTCTCTCTCTCTCTCTCTCTCTCTCTCTCTCTCTCACGCTCAATTTACGCAAAAAGTATCAAATTTTCATAATATTTTCTTCTATATCTCTTTTTGTATCTCACGAAAAAATCACGAAAATATTATATAGTGTCTAATTCAAGTAAATACTACATCTCTCTGTAGATAGATAGTATATATTACAAAGTGAGATAGTATATTACAAAAATATTCTTTTGTATCTTTCTCTGAAATAAAATTATGTAATAAATATTAGATAGATAATAAATATCACAAAAATATTCTTTTGTATCCCTCTCTTTCATTCAAGCAATACTATAAACACGAATCATACAAATTTAATAGTCAATTTTATTTTTTTTATAATAAAAAAAAAGCATTACTTGCAAAAAAATATAATTTAACAAAGAAAATATGCTTAACTTTTAAAAATATACAAGATTAAATTCATATACAAACACAAAATCATACAAATTGAATATTTAGTGAACAACACAAAGTAACAATATTTACTAAATAATCCAAATCTAAATACCCGAAAAAAATGATACAAAATTACAAGCGAGATAAACGATACAAAATTATAAGCAATACTATGAACACGAATTATATAAATTTAATATGTAGTGAACAATATAAATCGACAATCTTTACTAAATGATTCAATACTAAATAACTTTTAGTTTAAAAAAATATACTAAGAATATAAATAATGTTTAGTTTAAAAGCACTACTATAAACTCAAATCATATAAATTCAATAGTCAATTTTATTTTTCCATATAAAAGTATAACTTGCAAAAAATATAATTTAACAAAGAAAATATGTTTAACATATAAAATATACAAAATTAAATTTAAGTTATTTGGCAACTCAAATATCAAGAGATTTATTAAAGAAAATATACTTAACATTTAAAATATACAAAATTAAATTTATATACAAACAAAAATCATTCAAATTCAATATTTAATGAATAATACAAAGCAACAATATTTAGGACATCTCTAACCCTGACTCAAATTTTACTAAAAATTTGAGTCATGGTTAGAGATGCTCTTACTAAATAATCAAAATCTAAATACTCGATAAAAATGGTATAAAATTACAAACAAGAGAAACTATACAAAATTATAAATAATACTGTGAACACGAATCATACAAATTTAATATTTAGTAAATAACACGAAACAACAATCTTTACTAAATAATCTAATATTTAGTAACATTTAGTTTAAGAATATAAATAATCGAGAAGAATAATATAAAATTAAAAACACTATTATAAATTCGAATCATACAAATTCAATAGTTAGGTCGTATAATTTGGAAGTCGGTTGAATTTTTTATAATTATATTTGGTCATTTGACAATATTTGTAGACTTAATTTATTTGTGGGAGTATTGTTTTAATTTTCATTCTATTAGTTATGAATTCTGTTGTTATTTAGATAAAATTGATTATGAATGTTAAAATCGTGAATTTTGAATTAAAAATAGAACATTGAATATTGTCAACTGATATATTTATTCAGATATTTGAATTATTATATTTCAGTAGTTATAACATAATTTTCATAACGTAACAATTTAATATGAAAATATATGCTATGCATGTAAGTTGATGTTATGAAAAATATTAGCGGACTCATTTTATTCGTTGTTTATTACAATATTGTATTTTAGTTTATATTTATATATGAACAAATATTTGTGACTAATTTACGAATAATATTGTGCCTTCAGGTACGGGTAATTGCTAGTATTTCATAAAGCTTAAGTAAGAAATCATTTTTCATCCGGTGATTTCAAATGTCCAAAAAAAAAAAAAAAAAAAGAAACACCATAAATCAGTAATTTGGTAGGACATTGTGGGCATTTTAGTCTCCTAGTCTATTCGAAAACTTTTGTTGACTTTTGACTGCCGGGTTGCATCCTTGCAACCTCCATTCTATCTGCTTTTCACACGACCCAAACTTTTGGCATATTTTCAAACAAATGATGCGGTGCCGAAAAGAGCTAAGGACGTTTACTAAACGATTAAGCTTAAAAATAAAGTTTTTAGTAAGTTAACTCTACATTAAGTAGTAATAAAGACGAGACGTAAATTCAGATATTTTAAATTCAAATTTTTATAATTTTTTGAGTTTGTCATTGAAAAATTTATCTCTCATGAATATTTTAGTTTCGGTGAAGATATCTTACTTTTGATCAACCGAATAAGAGATTAATCGAAATACATATAAGTTGATTCAAATATTTTCAACCGTTGAACTAAAAAATTAAAAGAAAAATTATTGGTAAGTTGAAAAAAAAGTTTTATCAATTGCTATTCACAGGTCTGAATTTTATTGTGATTTAAGTGCATGAATTTTATGTAAATTATATATATCTACTATGTTATATAATAATCCCTAATCAAAATAATTGCGTAATTGAAAGGATCTCTTTGAACATAAAAATATAATTTTTTTATCGACTTGTTACATTTTAAAGTTGAATCGGGCAAATTCTTAAAAAATGAAAGTAAAAAAAAAATAATAAAACAAAACATGAGGCTTTCCAAAGGTGACAGACATGATTGAAGGGAACGTTCGGAGGCCTTTCATTAATGTCATTGAGTTAAGAAAATTAATTTTCAAAAAAGGATTTATGTCTTTTTATGAGTAAGACACTTATTTATATATTACAAGCTCTTATAGAATTTGTATTAAATTTTAGAATAAAAATATTAAAAAAAAACTAAGATATTAACTCTTTTTCTTATTACAGAGTGTTTAAACTTATATTGATTATTCTCTTGAACTCAAATATTGGTTTCTGTAATTCAAACGAGTTTAAAACATATCTCTTAAAAATTACTTAATAGTAATAACTTACATTTAAGTGTTAATACTAAGATCTCTGAATTATCCATAAGAATTAATTAATTTTGATGTTGATTGCAACGTGCAACCAAGTTCTTTGTATTCATGAAATAGGTGACGGAAGCACTTACATCAGCCATTAAAGTGGGAAGATGTTAACCTTTGACATGACCAACAAACCTCTGGGAAAGTTGTAGGAATAAAATATGATTTGGTCATGTCAACGATTTGAGGATCCTTTAACTTACCTTAATACTGTGTTTGTTAGACAAATGAATATTCAATTGTTTGTGGGTTGAACAAAGTTCACATGATTGCCTACCTTTTTGACCACTGGTTAGTTTTTGTTGGGGGTAACGTTGTAATTTCAAATTTTTTTTTTTATTTGTCCTACTTAAATACTTGTATTTTTTTTTTGACATACTTAATCACTTGTCCAATACGCTATTTCCTTTTATTTTTTATACATACTACAACTTTGAACTTTCCACCCTTTTTTTTTTTTTTTAATTTGAGAGATCTTGAATGATGTATTTTAATTATTTAAATATTCTGGATAATATACTCCATAACAATTTGAATCTCTTTATTTTCTTTTGGAGTAGAATTTATGTATATCAAAAATAAAATAATTTACAGACTCTTCTCAATGAATTTTAAATGAATATACAGCATTAGATGAGTAATTCCAATTAAAAAAAATTCACGTGACTGGCAGATTCAATGGTTCAGATTTAATATTATTTTTTGGGGCATTAGAACTTGTAGAACTTGGTGGGGGCGGGACAAAGAACTGCACAAAACTGTTCTTTTCCTGCTTTCCCATGTTCATAAGAATTTCTGTGCATTGATTTTTTTCTTGCAAGGTGTGGGCGAGTGGGACCTCGTGGACACCCATCAAGTGTTTGGAGTTGGCAATCAAAGCCTTGAGAGGGTGGTCATCATTCACACTGTTGATGAAAGGTCGAAAGCTTCCATGGAGTCGGTCTCAATTTGGAGTTTGACAAATCCATTGCAGGTGGATAACTCCAACCCTTTGCAGATTGCCCATAACTCTGCAGGAAGACTTTTCGTTGCGTTCAGCTTCCCGGTGAAACTCAGCTTCCAGAGTCCTTGATCATCTCTGATCAGTCCTCATCCCAAAAGTATTGCTTTTTTATGAATGGGAAATGGTGGTGATTTAGAGAGGCACAATTGGTTTTTGTGCCCAGAAGAGGTGCTCATGACACAGGCCTTAAGATAATGAGGTATTGCAATTACCTAGCATGCTTTGAACAATCCTCGAACAACTTGATGTGGGGTTTAACACCTGAGGGATTGTTTGATTACAGTATTAAAGAGTGAATTAAGAAATTATAATAAATTAAAACTTTTCAATTTAAACATATATTATATTTGGTTGTCAAAAGTATTTTGTATTATGTATATATTTATTTTGACCTCAATATAAAATATGTATACGAATAATATGCTTACTTTGTGTTATTAATGCAATTTTAATACCACTTATATAATCCAATTGAACCATACTATGTTACAAATTACTATTTTTCATGCCAAAGAAACCAAAACAATGATAACTAGCCTAGATTGATATGCAATTAGTGCTACGAGATAAGTAAACTAACCAAATGTAAGTATAAAGTAGATAGCTATTATCCCGCTCTTGATTTAGTGATGTATCAAATGTTGGATTACAATAGGTAGTATTATTTTTTCATATTTAATCTGTAAGGGGTAGAAATTGCTATGGATTTCATCTCTCCATTTGAAGGATTTCGACTGACCTGGCGACACCGATCTCCAGTAGCCTTTATCTCTCTTCGCCAATAAGACTCTTTCCTAAGACAATCTCATATCGGAAGAAAGTCGTCTTCCCTCTCGCATATAAGCCCTTGCACTCAAAGGAGGAGGTACCCACTAGGCACCTGATCAGGTCGCTAGTGGGTACCTCTTCCTTTGAGTGCAAGGGCTTATATGCGAGGGGGGAAGACGACTCTCTTTCGATGTGGAATTGTCTTAGGAAATGGTCCTATTGGCGAAGAGAGGTAAAGACTACTAGGACTCGGTGCCGCCAGGTCAGCCAAAATCTTTCAAGTGGAGGGATGAGATCCGTAACGATTTCTACCCCTTACATAATCTTATAATTTATCCGCTTATACAAACATTAGTCTAAATTATCTCATATACTCATTTTTTTTACAATATGGTAACCAAAAAACTATAAATTCATTATTGAGCGGTGATATTGAGCCAAATTTTGACTCATAAGGTCAACCTTAGAGGTATTTAGAAAATCTTGGAGAAGGATAAGCTCAATACCTGATTAAGGTAGCTTAAGACATGAAACTAAATAGGTAAACCAACGAGAATAAAAGTTTTATATGACTAAAATACCGATTGAGGTCATTGTGAAAGAAAACAAGTTGTACCACCTGGTTCCTAGACCCTAGTAGGCTTCCAAGTCCTACACGAGTAGAGACAAGTATTCTATAAAATATTGATAATGCTTTAGGATCTAAGTAGGCACTTTTCCTTCCATGAATTGCATTACCCATTGGAGTTCTTACGCCTCTTAGGCTCTTACGTGTTACACCTCAGTCTTTTGACAATTCATTCATTTTGCAAGAAGCCGGTGCAACAAAGATCAGTTTCTCATACTAGATCTTGTTTGATAATTTTTTCTTTTTTACACTTACAAAATATTTTGTTGAAAATGTATTTTGTGATGAATAAGATGGTCTAATAAAAATCGTCTACAAGAAACATCAAGGATCACACATACACACTTGTTCTAAGTGCTTTTTGCAAGAGAAATTTTGCAACAAATTAAGGGACTCATCATAGCCACAAACATAATAGAGCACAAAATCACCCTATTGTCGATAGTGATGAGATATGATCAGGGAGGTGATCCCACAAAGCAAAATACAATACAACCTTCAAAGAAAAGATTATGTTTGAGATTAATTCGCAATAATTGACACCTAAACTCTTAACGTAAATTATAAAAGATAACTATCTAAACTATGTGCGAGTTGGGCTTTGGCGCAACAGTAAAATTATTTGATTATGATCTAAAGGTACGACTTTAACTTTATTTTTACAGATAAAATTGTGTATATTTAACTCTCCTTAAATTCTGTAATAATGAGAGTCTTATATTATAATTATGCATGTGCGTGTGCGTGCAGGATCTTGCACAATATAAACACGAAAACAGATATCTTCCGTGGTGAACTCAAGTCAGTCAATCGAATGGTTAACCTTGCTACTTGGAACAGACTGTAAGGTTCGTTGGTGGCCTGAAAAGGTAATGAGAGACTTTCGTGGATCAACGGAGCGGTCCTGTAAGGCTGAGGGAGGTTCCTGGAACATAAAAAAATTAGTTAGGAGGCGCCGGAGTGTTTTTCGGCGTATCTCCTCCGACGATCAAGTCAGTTCTTTGAGAGAGGAGAAGAGGAAAACACTGTGTATAGGTTTGAGAAAAAATTTTTTTGTTGCATGCCGTCTTGCCTTTTGTGAGGAGTATTTATACCTCAAAAACTCATGATTACTGTCAGTGTGGTCAGTAGGTGATCATTAGATACGGGCAACGTGCGCATTGATTCCTATGAGGAATGTCTTCTCTTTTAACTGTTCGGGATCCCGAGCAACCAATGTTGCGTCATCGGCCTGCCGAATGTTTAATGAGCTACTCTCGGCAAAAATGTAATAAATGTCCAGTTTTAGGGATATTTATTACCTTTCACTTCCCAAGCCTTACCGCATTAAATGCTGTCTCATCAAGGGAAATGGTGTAATTAAATGTTTACTTTTTCAAGTCGTGTGTCAGCAAGGGCATCCGATTTTTTTGTCTCTGATGTGACACAATATGTCACGCGCCCATTTTCTATTGGCTGTGTCTTCTGTCTTCTTGTGCTTTTTGACACTAATTGTGTAAGACGAGGTCATGATGGCTAATCTAGCCTAGCCTAGGCTAGGCTAGTGACCTGTACATCAATAGCCTCTACAGGAGCAGAGAACACCATCCTGGACGGGTACATCTCGATACCGAGGGAAGTGGTACATGTAGGGACCTATGTACCCATATCCGATCAAGGGATACGTATCGGTACGTAACGTACTAGGTGTCATTGATCTCTATGAACAGTATCTCAGAGGAAGAGGGACTTGTGATCCGACGGGTACGTGTCATGATTATAATAACAAGAATTTACTGATGTCGAAGACACGTATCTTCATCTTGGAGTATTTGAAAATATCCCATGCACTTTTTTACTACCTAGACTATGCGCGGTTGTCTTAACTCTCAAAGAGGAGGGAGGGAAAAAAGAAGGGGGGGAGGGGTTGGAGAATCAATCCGAAAGCTCGGAATTATTCAATCATGCCGGCAGGCAAACAAAGTTTAGAATTCTGTTGTCTTTGACGAAAACCCCCAAAAAAAAAAAAAAAAAAGCGTAAAAACAGACAACTTTATGAATGCATACTCTCCGATGCAAACGGAATTCCAAGAAAGTCAAGACTTTTTTTCTTCCATTTTGTCAAACCCATGTCCAAACCTGTGAAACTCAAAAAAAAAAAAAAAACAAAGCAAAGACATTGGAGTAGCTCTGACCAAGCTTTGTAAATCCCATCTGTATGTAGTCTATTTTCTGTGGTTTATACCCACAAACAGGGGGATCAAACAAAAGATACCAAACCAAACCCATTATTTTCGATCAATTTTAATACTGCTCAAACAACAATTCTACTTAAAAGGACGAACTCGAAAACCAAAGTCATTTTTTTTTATTTCCTTGGATATTAACTAGTTGGAGAGAACTTTGACTTTGACTGGAATTAGTAAGGCCCGGCCAATGAAAACAATCACCACCATCCAATCCGCCGTTAGCACCACCACTTACCTGCCACGTGTTGCGAACAGGTGAAACCCAAGAACAGTCCCACACCCCCTAGCACCGCCACCACCAACTCTGCTGCCGTTACCTTTGCTGCCTTGTTCCATGGGCCAGTCAAACATACCAGCTTCATCTCCCATTTCATGAAGACCCGAACCGTGCCCAAGCCCATGACCGAATCCACTAAAGGGCACAACCTCGACCCTCTGTTGTGTATTCAACGAAGACGTAGAACTGCCTGAAACGGGCTCATTCAGATTCACATCACAACACAAAGAAGACCCAGACCCAGATCCAGAACCCGTTTCGGCTGCCATGGAACCCGAGTTAGCGTGTATCGCGTCATCAGTTTCTGCAGAAGAAGATGATTCAGCGGTGATGGTGCGAGAGCGTTTGTTGGAGGATGACTTCCGGGTTCCGCCGCCAACGGGGACTTTACGGAGGGTGCCACCGCGGGTCCAGTATCGACGGCAAGCCTTGCAGAAATGGCGGGGCTGAGAGAGGTTGTAGTTGTTGTAGTAGCAGAACTTGGTGTTGGTCGATTCACAGCGCGGGCATGGGAGTTTTTGGGGCTCCATTGGGCATGAGTTCATCTGTTGGGGTCTCGCAGGTGGTCGGTCTCCGGTTTTCGACGACATTCTGAGTTGTGCTTGCGTTTTATTTGGTTATGTGCTCAGGCGAATTATGTGTTGAAAAGAACAATTTTAGGAAAGAAGACAAAATGCTCTATGGATAGAATCATGAAAAAAGACACAGAGAATGAAAAGTGGACCAGTAGAGAGGGGTTTATATACCTGGTCAGAGGAGAGAGAGACACCACAGCTGGACCCTTAAAAGTTGTTATAAAGAGTTAGTAAATTTATATATTATCGGTTTAAATTTTGGTAATTTTTTGAAATTAAATAATAGTAATATATTTATATTTTATAAATATTTTAATTTCGATATAGATGATTAGGGAAAAGATTAATAAAAGTACATGTGATTCAGATACCTATGATTATGAAATAAAAAAAAAAGAAATAAAATAAAAAGAACATTGTTTTGTAACAGATAATGCAGTGGAAAAAGTCCAATAGTTGATACGCATTTCTTAAAAATATATCTAGAAAATTTGAGCCCAATTAATTTTTTTAAATAAAAAATTATTAATATTAAAATATAAAGCCTCATTTGTAATAATCGCTTTAGGCCTCAAATATATATGATCAATATTAATCAATCTTTTAGTTAGCTGGTCATTTTTGATAGTTTGATAATTCCATAGATGTTTATGAGTAGGCTTGACTTTTCTTTCAATCAAACTAATCTAATCGTTTTTAGATTTTTGAATAAGTTACACATCTAATTTGTTATGTTAATTTTTTTAACTCGTCCCCAGGAATTAATCATTTTTTCCCGTCTGATTTTCAGGGTGTGTTGCATTTCGTATTACACGTTACATTTAGCATGAATTTAAGAAGAAGTACTTTAAAGAGAAAAATAAAAAGAAAAAATAGTTAGAATGGTGTGGATCTTTTACATTTAGATACGAGCATGAGAAATCTTGCCGTCTATATCGAGTAACAACCAAATACCACATAGACTGGACCATTATCTTGGTTCTTTTCTATCTCTAGTATTGTCGGGATTTGGTAATGATATTGAAAAATAATATTTTTTAATACCAAACGTCTTTTGTTGTGGTCGGCCGCTTTCAACTTTTTGTGGCTTTTCCCGCCCCGTTTCCTTGGCTTTCACTCTTGGTTTGGTCCAAAATTGACTGTATCAGTCCTAAATCTTCAAAACTCTTGGCTCTTACTAGAGAGATTTCTTTGGACAAATACAAGGCTTATTCAACGGTTTTATTTTCATAATATGTAGGGTGGTTTTTTAATAGAGAACTGTTAAATTTCATCAAGAATACATTTGAAACTTTCTCCATTAATCATACAAATAGAAACCATTAAGGTGTAGTTGTAATCCATGACATAGTTATGTCCCACAGCTCCACCATATCCAATTTCATTGGAATAAAACCAATTCCATCATGACAGCTTGGTTCCTCTCTTCACTATCTCAAAGAAAATGACATTGCATTAATACTACCTCCTTCTTGTCTAGAATGTGGATTTTCTTGTGGATTAAGTCTTTATGGGATTTTTTTTAATTCATAAACTAACCTATTTATTCATGATTGTAGATAATCTCCGTTGTATTATATATATATATATATATATATCTCATATTTAGTCGTGGTACGAGGAGGTTGCTATGTGGGTGAAGCCTTTCACATGCTTAAACCTATTTTACGACACTAAAATAAAACTAGAAGAAATGATGAGATGGTGAGCGTTTCAAAAACTTTCATACTACATTTATTTTTTTTTTCAATCATTTATTTTTGCATAGCATGATTATTTCCTTTGAAATTGTGAACCGAAGAATACCAATTCAAAAGATTAAACGTTTCACCAATTCATACTCAAATCAAGTTTGGGTGATGATCACAATCTTATTTGAGAATGAGATATCAATTCCTAACTAATAGACCGTTTGGTAATATTATTTGAAAGTTTTAAAGTAGTTTTTGTTGCTTTTTTTAAAGTACGTTATTAACTAACCGTTTATTTTTACATTTCGTAAAATGCAGTCTTGTTCTTGTAAATAGTAATCAAATGGAAATCAAACCCTTTGGAGTTTTATGTGTCGTGAATAGTAATTGTATGTAATACATGATTGATGAACGCGACATTTGGGCTTCAACACAACAAATTTCTAGACTTTATGATTGCTTGCAGTGGATGGAGTTTCTGAGTTGTAAGTCTCCGAGTGTCAACATTTTCTCCCTCTCCATCATCCTTGAGTCTCCACTCAAATTCTTGTACAAATCTACCAATTGCAGTGCAAGAGATCAAACTCGCTTGAAGAGCACCTGCACATACCCTCTTTCCACCTCCAAACGCCATCGTCTTGTGCAAATCCATGGGATCATACTTCCCATTCAGAAACCTCTCAGGCTTCCACTCCTCAGGACTCTCCCACACATCTTTGTCCATGTTGCATCCGTAAATGTTTATAGCAATCTGCACAAAATAGTCAAAAATCAAAAACTGCAGGCAAAATTTCTGTAAGTTGCTCCATTGTAACATGGGGTATCACGAATTAGAGTTATAGAAATAATCTCTCTCCACGTGAGGGTAAGGTTGCGTTCATAACAGGAGTTTCGTGAATTTTTAGGCAACGTTGTTGTTAAAGAAAGAGCACAAGGGAAAAGTAAGAGTAATAACCTCACTTCCAGCAGGGATAGAATAACCTTGTAACTGTGTATCTTCATGCACATATCGCAGAGGAATTATAGGAACAGGACTATACTTTCTCAGTGTTTCATGAAAAACAGCAGATAGGTATGGAATCTGATACAATATGTCCTCTGTGATCTTGTTAGCCCCACAAACATGTTGAATTTCTCGATAGAGAATATTCTGTAGGAGTTGGAGAGAATCAAAATCATGTAATTATACTACAAGCTACTGTGTAAAAGGTTGAATTGATTTGTTAGTGGAGAGTAAGTGAATTTACCAACCTGTCTTTCTGGATCTTTAGCAAGTTCATACATAGCCCATTCTGTGGTTATCATGGTAGTATCAGATGATTGAATAATAGATTCCCAAAGCAACATTGCTATTTCTGTCTTTGACAGTGTCTTTGCTTCAGATAACAAGTAGTCTAGATAACAATTGATTTCCTGTTTTAAATTCCAGAAAGTAAGTAAATTGCAAAGGTCAGCTAACGTTATGACGAATGTACGAGCACTTCAATTAGCATACTCAAAGGTACCTCTCCCGATGAAATTCGTTTCATCTGCTCCTTTATTAGGGCCTGCATTGCCGTTTGCCTCCGAAATTTCATTTGCTGGATTTTTTCTTCAAAGCTTTTATTTGGAACCCATTGCATATAGGGGAAGAAATCTCTCCAGTCCACATCAATAGAGCCCTCCATTGGGTCGGTTATTAAAACCTTAAATAGTTCCTCTCTTGACAAAGTGGTTCCAAGTTCCTCCACTTGAATGGATTTCACATCCTTTCCCAGTGCCTGCAAATACCATTTAATATTACTTAAGGATTCCACATCCTTGGTTCAAAATCTGCCTCATATGTGAGGGAACGTGTTAAAAAATGTATAAATACTTACCCTCTTTCTGAGTCTGAGTCTTTTAGAGTAAATAGTGGCTTAACAAATATGACTAACGATAAATCATACATGAAGTAACTCACTTGCTTCAGTGCTAATCCAAAAATTTCAGGCTCGATTATTTTCCTAAGAGTTACGGCTCCAAGAGGACTGCTCTTCAAAAAAGCATACAGTTGGTCCATAGTGTATTCTATCAAGATGTCTCTGTGGAGACGATGTCGCCTCTGATGCACAAGAAAAGTGTAAAAATGTAGCTTGCCCAACTTGAAGAACATGAAAAGAAAGAGGATGAAGAATAATTTTGTTAACAAATTAGATTAGTGAGGAATTTTTTGCAGCACAAACCTGGGCAGTTGGTCCCAAAACATTTGTGAGCATATGTCGTTTTACTGTCTTGTGGAACTCATTGTAGTCACTCATGGCAACCATGGTTTTATCAGAAGTGAGGATCGTTAGCGCTTTTGATAGCTTTCTTGTTGAAATGGAGGAGAATCTGGTCACCATGGCCTGAAACACATTGAAAGGATAGAGAATCACAACACTTGCTTGTTTCGTGTTCATGTATATGAAAATATATAGCTGTTATATATACAATGTGAAACAAAGTCAATATTCTGCCCAATTTGGAGCCACATTAAGTGGTCATTTCAGTTTATCAGTCATCTAACACAAGAATATATTACATTATGATGCTTCTTGGGGCGTAATCAGGATTTTTCTTAGAATAGTGTTGGTGGAGGAGGGGAGGAATTACTTATAGTTACTTTTAATACAACAGATCTTCGGTTGGAAAAATATCTTAAAACTTGATCTAGATACATCTAATACTAGATACAACAGTTTACGAAGAATATCTTTAAACTAGTGGAAAAACCAGCACTCGAAGCAATTTGATCTTTCATACATCACATCATTTTTTGTAATAAAAAAAAAAAAAAAAGTCTATTAAGACCAATACGATACATACCCCTAATGCGGGCTGGCCGACCCGGTCCAACCCCTTAACCACCAACTTCCCAACATATGAGTTATAGCACGATATTGATCCACTCAGATAGTCCAACCTAAAAGCTAACCCTTAGGTTGAATCATTCGCAACTCAGGGCCATACTTTTTTTTTTTTTTTGGTAAGGCTCAGGGCCATACCAATTCCATGATTGTCAACCCTATTGTACTATGTTCTGATTAAAAAAAACCTTACCTTTACTACTTCAAGTCTGTGTCATTCTTATGAGAGAGAGAGAGAGAGAGAGAGAGAGAGAGAGAGAGGTGACCTCCTTGGCAACTTCGACGGAGTTGAGGACAATGATAGTGTTGGCTCCAGTTTTGATGGAATAGATAGGTCCATAAGTCTGAGCCCACTTCGTAAAGGTCATGTGGGGTTTTTTCTCCTTCAGTTGCAGTAGATTCCCTAATATCGGTAGCCCTGGTACTTCTGCACCAAATCCATCAAATTCCATAAATACATCGTGTTCATTTCTTTTGCTGGATTAGTTGTAGAAGTTCATATAGAATTGAGGAACTCAAAACATTGTTACGAATAGGAAAGACTTCGTTTTAGATTTTGGTCCTAAAAATTTATTTCGTCAATTGTGCCACATAAATTAGTCGCACTTTTGGTCAGTGCAACACTACTCTTTAAACATAGTCAATTGAATGCTTAATATACCTAATGACTAAGAACTAAATAAATGTTTGGTGGTGGACCTATTTGCCTTAAAAAATATATTGATCACAATTCATTGTATGCTCCAATTTTGCACCATTTCCCACCACCACCACCTCCTTATCCTCATCCCCACCACCACCTCTGCCACCTTACTACCGTCACCAAAACTGTTACCAACACAGCGATCACCATCTACCTCCATCACCGCCACCCCCACCCATAATATTGTTGCCGCCATCATGATCCCCTACTATTACTTCATCACTTCACCCAACCACCACCAACACTGCCAGTATCATCCCATCACCAGAGCTGCCACCATCGTTGTAATCACCCTCATCACCATCACCTCCCGGATGGTGGTCTAGTGGCAATGGTGGTGGGGTTGAGATGATGATATGGGGTGGTCATTTTTGTAGTGGCGGTAGGGTGATATATAGTTTTCAGACTTTAATTCATTATACTAATCAAGCAAATATCTATCTTTAATAATTAAATTTCATTAATATGAAACAAAGATCAGATTGAAAATTTTTACAGTAAACACCTAAAATATTTGCAGTACATGATTAAAAAAAAAAAGTACCAGGTAAAGGTGGGAGATTGGAAGCTCTCTTTTTGCTATAACTGACATACTCTCTAAGATACCATAAAGAAAGGCCAGCCAAAGCGATTGCCAAACCACTGAAAGCAACTGCAATGATCAAAGGGAATTCTTGAATATCCAGAATTGCTTCCATTAATGCGATTGCTTGGAAGAAAGAGAAGAGATCGAGGAACACTCCAAAGGTTCTGTATGCTTTTGCTTTATGCATCAATGAAACAAAAGCGACCCATATATACACACTCACACAAGTAAACACAAATATGTATACAGGAGAGTCTAAATAATGGCATTATTCTTTGTTGCTTGGTATGGAGATTGATGTGCATGAATAATATTAGATGGTTTGGATCTATATGTGATAAAAGATCAGCAGAGTTTTGGCAGGAAGGTGATGGAAGAAGAAGACAAGGGCCGTCGATGTTTGCTAAAGTTGGGCTATGGCCAGAGGATAAGGAGCCAAAGATTTTTCTCAATTCGTGACAAGGGAGCCGTCCTCAATTTAACATATATTACTCATAGATGATAGTTTGAACCAATTGGCTTTATACTCATTGCCGCACCAAAGCATAAGCTTATCATGGATTCCATTTTAAGCCAACAAAAATTAATGGCATCATGCATACGAATAAATGTTTCAATGCACCCCCATTTCATCTGAAAATAATTAATGACTCATATATATATATATACACACACACGCACAGAGAAAGAGAAATGTGCTCTTCCAATATAGTTGCCTCTCCCTCGAAAAGCACAAAACTGTTACATCTTGGACTGAATCCATTGCCTTAATTCAATCCACTTCAATAACAGAAACAAAGAAGGGAATCTGATCAAAGGCAATAATAATAAAGCTTTGATGATAAGGCATATTTGGTCCTTGGTTACGGACAAAGTGGATCAATGGAATCTACCTAAAAGGTTGTCAAAACGCCACAAACTTGCCCTTGGAACTTGGAGAAAACTTTTTAAAGTTGAGGGATACTGCAAGGCCTCTAATTAAGCACATAATTGGAGATGATAAGTCAAACTCTTTGTGGTATGATAATTGGCATGACCATGGTCCTCTACTCCTCAGGTGGCCACACGAAATCACTGATAGATTTAATTTACCAATTTATGCGAAGGTGGAGGAAATCATAAATTGAAATCAATGGCAGTGGCCTGCCTCAAATTCCATTGACTATAAGGAGATCCTAGCCTCAATGCCTTCTTATAACCCCAACACTCAGGTACCAGATCAAGTCAGGTGATCTGCATCTACTAATGGCCTCTACTCTGCAAAATCTGCTTGGACAAGCATTTATACACCATCCCCGGCCCAGGGTATGTTGGGATAAATTGGTATGGTTTAGCAAGTCCATCTTAAAATGAGTTTCATTTTATGGCCTGCTGTGTTGGAAAGATTTGAGTACAAAGGATAGGCTACAAGTTTGTATGCAACAAATTGGAGTAGCATGTGTTTTACGTAGAGAGGAGGAGGAAAATCAAAAACACCTGTTTTTTAATTGCTGATTTACAACTAGGATATAGTTGAAGGTAATGAATAGATGTGGCATTGCTTGGACTTCCACTCCTTGGCCTCGATTAATTCAAAAAGCCTCTATGTGGTGTGGCAGAACTCTGGAGGTCCTCATTCAGTAATTATGCCTGGCTGCAACGGTCTACATTGTGTGGAGAGAAAGGAATGACAGAAATCTCAGAAATGCATATAGTGATGCGACTTCAATTGAACATGATATGGTGTGCAACAGACTGTTTTCTTTGAAGAACAAGAACACTCTTCAAACAGAGATATAGTTCAAAGAAGGCATATCCCAGGTCCAGAATAATGTTCTGCTTGAAAGCTTCTGTCTTTAGTTTTTTGTTGTTGATAGTCTCACTTACAGATGGTGGGAATCAATCTATGAGTGTATTGGACAGTACTCCCATAGACTGAATCCTTTGCTTTCCACCTTTGTTTCATGGTGGAGTAGACAGGAATGAGATAATTACCTTTGTAAAGGAGGCCACCACGATTAACAACTGACCAAAGGGCATCAGCAATGCATACAGGAGATAAAAGGGTTGTACTTGTAGCCCAAAAACTGATAGAAGGGGTTTGAGTTATACTGCTAGTTAATAATCTCTTGACTTTATGATTGCTTGCAGTGGATGGAGTTTCTGAGCAGTAAGTCTCCGAGCATCAACACTTTCTTCCTCTCCATCAATTCAAATTCTTGGACAAGTCCACCAATTACAGTGCAAGTGTTGTGATCGTGCAGCAATTATGGTGAATAGTAAAGAATCAAACAATTAAGAAAGCAGGAGAAAATAACACACAGAGATTTACGTGGTTCGGCAATGTGCCTACATCCACGAGAGCGAGCGGCCGTTCTTTTCCATTATTGAAGTAGGGTTACATCTTAAGTATTTATATAACCCTAATATGGACGTATTTACAAAAATACCCCTGTACCGTACCGCGGGAGCGTTGCCCCGCACCCCCAACTAATCAGCGTCCCATTTATATAAATCCCACAAGGCAAATGCCGTCGCGGGCTTCGCTACGCGCCGAGCATCTGTCTCCTTGCCATTATGCACACAGCAAATATGAGCCACACATACTCTAACAGCAAGAAATAGAGGTTGCTTGAAAAGCACCTGCACATACCTCTCTTTCCCCCCTCCAAAGGCCATCGTTGAGGGAAAAGCTCAAGCGGAACCCAAGTCAAAAAAGAATAACATGCTCGCATCAACAACAAAAAGCACCAACCAACCAAATCACTAACCAAGTTTGACAGGTCTGGTTTAGTTCAAAATTACAGATTAGACTCAATTTAAAAATACAGATCACAAATCAGAAATACAATCCAACAAAAACCAAACCCATCGTCTTGAAAAACCTAGTTTACTAGTGATGCACGTCAAATCTCCATCTTAGGAAGGGAATCAGGCATGCATCACAAATCTTAACCACCTCGTTCGTTATACCAACATCACAGACCCACCCATTCCCGTCACCAGGGGGACACCTTAATCAGGCTTCTCGCGATGGCGCCTCCATCAAAGCCCGCTTTGGGGTGTCATGAAGACTGTATTCTCCTATAAATTGTAAACTCCATCTACACATGCGGGCCACCACACACATTTCAGCACACTATACTTTTGAGTAATAGGATTCTTCTGCCACTGTAGTCCTTCCTAGTGGAGTAGGTCACCTAAACCGAATCTACCAAATCTTTGTGTTTGTATATGTTGAACCCTTCTTACTTCATCTATGGATTGATTTTGCATAAACACTTTTATACATTATCAAAATTCATAAACAATATTGACCATCACAAGTTAACCTCTTTTTCTGCCTTTCAATTTCTTGTTCATTCTCCTTTCAAATTTTCACACTGCCTTTGTGGCTTGGAAGGGATGTGCTATTAAGCTACTGCCCTGCCTTAACTTCCACCAAAGTTTTCCTTCATGAATGACCAAGAAGAAGGGTTTCCCAAAATTGTGCACTTGTATTTGGTTCTGTGCAGTCTCTTTTGTGAAATGATAGACATGAATTAATCGATCATGCGGACCAAAGTTCTTCTCTTCTACTGGAATTTCTTCTGCCTTTAATGTCCAATATTCATCGTTGATATTCTCAACTTTTTCACCAAGTGGAGGGAATTGAACAAAATAACTATCAATAGAAGATGACTCCTACCCGATGTAGGATGGAGGTAAAGACTACTGTATTGTCTTAGGAAAGGGTGCAGGCCAGCCAAAATCCTTTGTGTTTAGGGATGAGATCCGAAAGCGCGATTTCTACCCCTAACATAAAAGGCGCCTTTCTGTAAGGGGTAGAACCCTCTACTAAGGATTTCGGCTTGACCTGAGTTAACCCATGCGAGCGACCCCCCAGTAGTCTTTACCTCTCAGTGTCCGCAGGAGCTTCGTCCCCATCGACTGAGAGTCGTCTCCCCCCTCGCATATAAGTCCTTGCACTCATGGGAGGAGGTACCCATTAGGTCGCTAGTGGGTACCTCCTCCTTTGAGTGCAAGGGCTTATATGTGAGGGGAGAAGACGACTCTCAGTCGATGTGGGACGAAGCTCCTGCGGGCACTAAGAGGTAAAGGCTATTGGGGGGTCGCCCGCTACAAAAATGCACCTTTTTTGTAAGGGGTAGAAATCGCTACGGATCTCATCCCTCCACTTGAAGGATTCCTGCTGACCTGGCGGGACCGAGCTCCAGTAGCCTTTACCTCTCTTCGCCAATAGGACCTTTTCCTAAGACAACTCTCTTCCAATATGAGATTGCCTTAGGAAAGGGTCTTATTGGCAAAGAGAGGTAAAGGCTACTGGGGTTCAGTGCCGTCAGGTCAGCCAGAATCTTTCAAGTGGAGGGATGAGATCCGTAACGATTTCTACCCCTTACACAAACATATAAAAAAGAATGCATTCATAATTTTTCTAAGTTAAGATCCATGAAATGGATAGAAGCTATAAATAAATCTTCCCCAAATAACATAAAATCTAATGTATATGATCTAATAGTATATATGCATACATATATAGATCTTTGTATATGTATGCAAAGAGAGAGAGATAGGAGATTGATTACAAAATTATGATGATAAATTTGAATTTGATTTTTTTTTCGGGATTAACATTTGATTTTTAGTAGTTTTAGTTTTATTATTAGGTTTTTTTTTTTGTTTCAAAAAATTGAATTGTAGGGCCTTTTAATTTTATGGGTTGAATTAATAGGTCAAATCAACTCAAGTTGCAATATTTTATATGGGCTTAAATCTAAGTTTTTTGTAGAGTCCATTTCTTATGGATTTAAAGTTTTTTATTTAGACTATTACCGTACACCTAAAAAATATGAGACCTTTCTTAAAGTGGGATCTAAAATCAAGATTTTAGTGGTTAGACTGATCCTGGATGGAACTGAAAATATTCAAACTCAACCTTTTGGAACACTGGTAAAGAACTGCCAGAAACTCCTTGCTGACCCTTATGCTCTGTTTGGTAGGATAAAAAAGTGGAATGATGAAAAGTTAGAAAAATAAATAAAATATCATGTTTGGTAAGAAATGAAAGTAAGAAGGATAGAAAAGTGGATGAATTAACTTTCCTTCCAACTCACCAAAATCAATCCCTCCAAA